TATATATAATATATATATATATATATATACATAATAACTACTTTGTTTAAGTGTTCGAACCCGTACCTTGTATGTGGAGCGAAAAACCCAACCCAACCGAGCAAAGTTCAATTTCTGTATTATTCTGTAAGAATACTCGATATATTCAGATGATGAAATTGCACTCGAATTTTCATTATCCAACACTAATCTTGAATCTGGAGGCAATATTTTGAACAAAAAATATTAAAATCTTGATAAAAAGTCATCCAGAGCTCCGATTTCTGACCGCCTTGTTGAGAAGATCCAAATGATCTAAAAACTAATTCAATCCGAGTAGATCAAGCCAGGATCAAATCATTAAATCACTCTTGGAGAACTTCCGAAGTCATTTGAAAGGTCAAACGAATGTCAATACTAGTGTGCTTATAGTCGAATCGAGTGTGTCGACAAGAAGAATCCAACGAGCCCAAGATTGCTCAATTACGACATCGTTAAGGCACTCAAATGTCCATCAAACTTCATCTAATCGAGGTAAGCTCTTCAGACTGTCCAATCAAAATAGTTCATATTCCTGCATTAAATCGTACCCAAAATACTATAAATAAAGTCTCACCCCTCACATGAAGAGGGAAGACTTGAGAGAGAACTTTAGGCATAGAGAAAGAGCTTAAGTCCAATATCATCCCTGATTGTCGTCGACCTCTGTCGACCCCTGCCGACCCCTGCCGACCTCCGTCGACGGCCACCGACAGTTATCGATAGTTGTTAATTACCGCCGATCACTGCCGACCTCCGTCGATCTCCACTGATTACATGTCGTCAGTCGACTTTATAACTCAGAAAGCTAGTAACAATTTCCCATTTGTGAGACAAGGGGTCTCTGTAATCATCAATCAATAGTGAATTTTTGCAAATGGGCCAAGCCTAGTGGGTTTTTCCCTTTCCGAGTTTTCCACGTAAAAGTTTCTGGAGTCATCTCTGCTTGCTTCTCTTTCATCTATGTGTGTACTAAATTCTCATACAACGCTAAGACGATAATCTGTTATTCTACCGCCGCAGATTTTCCAGCACGCATCAAATACATTTCGAGTTAGAACTTTCTTTTAAGATGACTTTTATTTTCTAATATTATTTTAGGATTTTTGAAATATTACATTCCGAATGATTGTTTTTTTAATTTAATTGACTAAAAAACTACAAAGATTTATTATCAATTAAAATTATTAATTAACAAAATATAATAAAAATTATTAAATTTGATTCAAATGACATTTTAATATAAACAATAAGTTTTAAATCTTGCCCCAACCTTTAATATCTTATGGCTATGTGATTAGGCTTATCAAAATCACTCTATATTCGTGAACAGCTCATGTTCGGCTCGCTATACAAACGAGCTGAACATGAATAAACTTTTTGAGCTCGAAATATAAACGGGCTCGTTCGTGTTCGGCTCGTTTACATGGCTTATGTATCGCTCAATGTAGGGGGTAGTTCTTTAAGAATGCGGGGAATAACACCCTTGTTGTTGATGTCTAAACCAACGATTGTAATGCTGTCGATTAGTGTTTTGATAGATGAGAGATATCCCGTTATTATTTTATTTTTTATGGTGATGCGGTGGAGTTTGTTTATAAGATGGATAAATTGGGATTGATTGGCTTCTAATAAGAAGCATTTGAGAGAAAGCCAAATGTCTTCCATTTAACATTTTTTACTTGCTTTCTATGAGTATATGGGGTTTCAAAACTCCATTTATGATGAAGAGCTGTAATATGCGCTGCATGTCGTATTTAGAGAAGTTATATGGAGGCGATTGCATTGCTTGTTCAAGCTTTTATGGTCAGCAAGACTCTCGGTGATCAAGAGAGCCTCTATTTATATTTCCAACTAATCATTTGCTGCTTCAGCATTTGTTTTTTTTTATTTAAATAATATTTTTTAAGAAGCTAATAAAGATCGATGTTAATAATGAAGGTAATTGGATGATGTTTGTTGAATCATGTACGATAGGAGAGAAGGAGGGAGAGAGGGAGTTGACTTTGATTTGGTAAGGCTGGTTCGGTCGGCTAAACTGAGTCGACGCAATCGGTTGGTTGGGCATGATTAGCTTCGGGTCGACAGGATTGACTCAATCGGCTAAATTTTGTTTATTGTTTGGTCAAGTCTAGCTAGATCTTTGATCCCTGAGTGAGGAACTGTTGTAGATAGAATGCGACTAGACTATTAAGCAGATGTTGAATCACTATAACTCGATAGATAGTTCATTTGTTAGGGAGAATTCAAGAAGATTGTGAGACTATTGCATTGCCAAAACTCGGACTCTGATTAGGAATCTCAGGGCCGTCCGTGATGATCAGTGATATCAAGGAATTGTATTCATCCCTCGGTTTGTAATTTATTATGTTGTTTTTTCCATATCTGATGCATTAATTAGCTAATTAAATAAGCAAAAAGGACCGTGGCCTTGCCAACCTGAAGTCATATATGTGGTAGGTGAGCATCTTAATTGTAAGAGAAGTAAAGTCTGTCCCAATGAGATGACAATGCACAATGTTAACCTTTTTGTCAAAAGTGGATACGGGCGAATTCTTGTGAAAATTAACGTGAGAGTTTAGATATGATGGAAGCACATATTTAGTTTATTGTCACACCAATCACTGCCAAGGACTTCTATTTTTGAATGAAATTGAGTTTTGACCAAAGTTTTTGATGGTTTACAAGCAACCATTCTGATATATTCTAAGAGTTGTCCAATTTTTAAATCAAGTTAAAATATTATAAATATTAACTTATGTATTGGTCTTTACATACATACCACTCAATTCATATATTTACACCAATCAAATTTTAATATCAAATGATAAATAACCATCATTTCTGGACAACAACATGTTTTTTCTTATAATATTGTAAAGTGATAATTACGAACATAAAAACCCAAATCTTGTCATTTATAAAATATAATGAACTGTAGAACATATGTACGGGTGCTAGATTTGTACATCAATGTTTATGATGCTATACCATGTGCCCATTATAAATTTATAAATTAATATTTAAAAACTAAATATGTAAATGCTTTAAAACTTTATTATCCATAAACAAATATTTTTCATAGGTAAAATATTAGGTACTCATCGTACAACATAATTATATAAAAAGCCCTAAAAATATTCAGATGCATACAAACTCCAACCCCAACCCCAATTCCAACTCCAACTCCGCACCTAATATTCAGAAGCATACGAAAACTTTGACATTGTTGCAGAAAGCAACGAATCTATCCATGAACACCACCGCCCTCTCATTCTGCGGATAAAGAAAAAAGAATCCATGATCCTCCCCTTCCGCCATCACAAACTCCACCTCCCCTCCCCACCCACTCTCCTTCAATTTCTGACCATAAATCCTCGCTCTATCCACCAACAAATCCATCTCCCCGCAGCTCACCAGCACTCTTCTACACCCCAGCAGCTCCAATCCCGGAGCCCCTTCCGCCACCGGGTTAATCCTCGGGTCATTCGGTCCCTTCGTCCCCGGACACACAAACTCCCACGCCGGATCCAAATCCTTCACCTTAAGAAACGACCCCTCTTTTCCCTCCAGCTCCACTCCAATCTTCTCCTCCCCCCAAAAATAAGGATTCAGAAGCACAATACCTTCGACTTTCCTCCCCTCGCTGCCCATCCTCATCCCCAAATTGTGCACGATGTTCCCCCCTGCGCTATCTCCGGCGAGGATGACTCCGTCCGAACTTCCCCTGCTTGCGATGACCCATTGGAGGGCCTCCCAGGAGTCTTCGTAGGCGGCGGGGAGGGGATGTTCTGGTGCGAGGCGGTAGTCGACGGATACGGCGACGATGTTGGCTTTGGAGGTGAGGTGGTTGAGGTAATTGTGGTAGTGGGCGGAGGAGGGGCGGTGGAGGCAGAAACCGCCGCCGTGGTAGAAGACTAGGATAGGGTGATTCTGGTCGCCGTTGGAGGGGATGGAGGGGGGCCGGTAGAAGCGGACGGAGAGACCGTTGGTGGGATTGAGGGTGATATCCTTGGAGTGGACGCCGGTGATTGGGTCGATGGAAGGGGGGAGGAATTCGAAGGGTTCGAAGCGATCCACGCGGCCGCTGCGGTAAGCTCGCATCATGGAGATCATGTCGTAGATGAGTTCATCGTCGTCGGAGGTGGTGTTGGGGCTCATGGTGGATTTGGGAGGTAGGGAGGTAGGGAGGTCGAAGAGATGTGTGGTTTTTGTTTGGAAGTGGGCGGCATAAGCAGGGCGGCGGTTCAGGTGATTTATAGTTTCCAAGAGGGTGCGTGGCTGCACAGAAGCCATTAAAGAATTATGGATTTGGGATTTCATGCCCCGATACCAAGACCATGGTAAATGTGAAAGCAATATTACATATTTAAGATGGTTCAAAATTTTGAATTTATTTTAAAATTAATGTATTATAACATATATATATA